GGACGGAGAGAGCCCTGCTCACTCCTCCAGTTCTCCTTACACATCCCACCATGGTGGCTGAGACCAGCCCCAGGCACCCATTTGTGCACAGCCACTGAGAGCCACTGCTCTGGTGTCCGCCACTAGGCAGCCCCTTTGGAGCCAAGGGGTTAAAGCGCTCCCTGGTGCCTCTCTGGGTAGAGACCTCAGTCTTGGGTGCTCTCCTGAATCTGCTGGATTAGAGACAAGAAAGGCTGCCGCTGAGCAGGTGGCTCCCTGGCTCCCTCTGCTGGAGAAGGATGGGGACAGGGAGGGCAGAGCCCACTTCACAAGGTGCTTTCGGGTCAGGGGAGAAGAGACGTCCAGGGTGAAAGGCATAATGGTGTTGCTGGGAAGCTCAAATGGGGGTCAGGCGAGAGCTGCTGAAGAGAACAGACCCCAGGCCCCAGAATGGGGGCGGGGAGGAGTCTCCCGTGGACAAGCGTGGCCCGGACCCCAGGCAACCTGAGAACTTGGGGCACTGCTGCGTTAGCCCCGAGGAGGAGAACCGTGCGTGCAGGCCCTGACACGCTCGCTTCCTCGCTGCCCTCCATGCTGCTGGGGTGGGGCGGGGGCTGGGGAGGAAACAGCAGCTTGGACCCCTGGGGCGCCGTCCAGTTCCCAAAATAGCCTGCCGACCACGGTGGGTGCAGGAGCTTCCAGCCGGGGACAGAGCCAAACCAGTGCTCTAAGCAGGATCTGATGAGGGCAAGGGGCAGGCTGAGGACGTGGCAGACCTGGCCAGGTGTGCGTGTCCCAAGGGGCCCCATCCCCACCGCCCCATGCACAGGCTGCTTCCTGGCCCAGCTCCCTCCCGCCAGGGCCTCAGGCCTCCAAGGACCTGGGCTTAGAACACAGCTTTTGCTGTGTGACTTTAGGGAAGACGCTTAACCTCTCTGGACTTTGGGTAACCCGTCTCAAATAGAGGCGCTTCAAGTCCCAGTCTCTCAGAAATGGTCTGAGATCCCCAGGGACACCGGCCCCATCCCTCAGCCCTCGCTCCTAACATGCAGCCTGGGTCTTCCTAAACCGACAGCTATCAGCCCACCAGCTGAGAGGAAGCCCGGGGACAGAGCAGGGAGAGTCAGGGTGGGGGCGGCAGGCGATTTGATCCTCCCAGATTCCTCTTCCGCCCTGAGCGAGGCCTGCCCTGGAGGACACGGGTCAGAGGAGGAATCGCCAGGGTCAGCTGGCTTTCTGGCTTCACCAGGCGGGCGGGGACTGGTTTGAAATGCCTTACACTCCAGGCGAGCCCCTCCCTGGAGAATCCAGGGACTGCCCCCTCTCTCTACTCCTCCCAGGCACAGCGCAAGGTGTGGGGGTGGGGTGGGACAGGCGTCACCCTTGCAGGGCCGTGGCGTGGGGGAGCTAGACCCAGGGCCAACCCTGTAATGAGAACAAGTGGGGCTCAGCCCCTCACAAGAGTCTTCCAGTGGGGTCTTCCCTATTCTCTCTCTCTCTCTCTCTCTCTCCTCCTCTCCCCCCTCCCTCTTTCCTGGGGAGGAGAATGGCGCTGGCCCGGGAGTCCAGTGGAATTCACAGGTCAGCTGGAGAGGTGCCAGCGGTCCCTGCCTCCCTGGGCGTTCGTTCCTTCTGGATGCTTCCAGAACCATCTCTGAGATCCTGGAGATGAGCGTTAGACCACAAGGACCCCTCAGACTGGCCCGGCTACAGTCACCCTGGGCAGGGCGAGCTGGGCCCCAGCCCAGAGCCCACGGGGTGGCCCAGGCCGTTCGGGAGTCAGAGCTCCCTGTATTCACAGCAGGCCGAGCCCAGCAATGACCCAGCCCACTCTACAGATGAGGACACTGAGGCCTTGGAAGGGAGAGCTCCTTACCCAGGATTTCACAGCCACACAGCATCTGCAGTGGCGGGCCCCAGACCCAAACCGTGCTCCCCAGTGCCAAGGCAGGGGGCTCTCTGCACTCGGGGGGCCCATCCTGGAGCCCAGCCCCTGCTACACCTCCTCGGAAGTGGGCCCTCCTGGCAACGCGGGGCCCCCCGGAATGGGAACAGCAGGCACCGGGCAGGGCTGCCAGGCCGGGACCCTCACACCTTCCCCGGCTCCCTGCACGCCCCTCCCTAGAGCCTGGCCAGTCTTACCTGAGAGCAGGAGCTGGAGCCGCGTGCTCAGCCTCCGCAGTACTGGGCGAGGAGCGGGCCGGGCAGGGCTTTAGGCAGGCGTGCGGGCTGGGCCTCGGGAGCCAGCCCTGCGGCGGGGAGGAATGTGCAGGGAGGGGGGCCGGGGTGGCACTGGGGGTGGGGGTGTCGTCTGCTATTTTGGCAGGTGCCAGGGACAGGGCTGAAGGAGATTGTACCCCGCGCCATATAAGCCCATGCGGTCGCCCAGCTGCTCAGATAAGCTATTTAAAACCGGCAAGATATGCAGGGAACAGGCCTGTGACAGAAGCCAGCTGTCCCTCTCAAGAATCCTGATAAAGCAGATGCCAGCCACCCAGGCTGGGAGGGGGCTGGGGGCAGGTGGGGGGGCAGGGCCCTGGGGGGCGGGGGGCTTGAGCTTCTCCGTGGCTCCCCTCGGAATGATGGCGAGACAGAGACATCTTCCAGGTTGGCTAAGGCGCTGAGCGGCCTGGGGCGGGCAGCGGGTGGCGGGCTCGGCATTGGCCAAACCTCGGGACGGTCCTCGCTGCCGCAGGCGCCCAGAAGCGAGGCAGGAGTGGCCGTCTGGAATGGCAGTTCTTCCTGGCACAGGGTGGCCGGGGACAGTGAGGGCTGTGGACGTGCCTTCTCCAGGGGAGACCCCCAAGAGATTCTAGGGACCGTGAGGCTGGAGCCCGGGGTCTGGTTGTCTGTGCTGTGTGTGGCCCCAGCCCGAGGGCAGCGCCCAGCACCTCACGGGCTTGGTACACGATGCAAATGCGAAAGCTCGTGTGGGAACCCCTGAGTGACCCCCACCCAGGGCCCCCCTGTCTCCGTGGAGGGAACAGCTCCCCCCAGGCCAGGGACCCTCCCCGTACACCCCAGCCTCTTATCAGTAATCCACCCTCTGTTCCTCCTATCCTCTGGCCCCGGCTGAGCACCAGCCAGCCTTCCCAGTGCTTAAATTCCTGCCACCTCCACCACTAACGTCCATCCTTGGGCAGTCCTGCGCACGCGGGCCTGCCGTGTGCTCCACGCCACGCTGTCATCACACTGCCCTGTCACTCAGCTGGCGCTGTCCCCTCCCCGGTCCCCAGCCACCACTGAGCCCGATGGCTTTGGTCCCCCGGCTCCAGGCTCATCCCCAGTCCCATGGGCCCCTACGCTGCCAATGGCTCAGCTGCCAGCCAGCCCCTGGGAAGCAGAGGGGCCTGGCGGGGGCGGGATGGTGGGGAGGGAGCCAGAAAAAGGACCCAACCTTGCTTTGTGTCCCGGTCTGGAATTTAGGGCTGAGGCCGTCTAGATCTCTACAGCGCCCCCCGCTGGGAGGAGGCCAGCACAATCTTGGTGTCCATGGGCACAAGCCTGAGGCTCCCACGAATTGTCACAAGGCCAAAAGGCAGTCACAGGGAGCCAGCAGCCAGCAGTCCCTGGGCATAGCAGGGCTGCTCCCGACCCGTTTCGGATGCTGCTGTCATTGCAAATAGCTGCAAGGTCACCTCCCAGGGCTAAGGATAGAGCAGAAAACAAAGGCAGCGTGGTCTGGGATGAAGCATGTACTGGCACAGCGCCTGCAGGTTTGAGAGCCTGCAGGAAGACGGGTCCCAAGGCCAGGGGCAGCAGACAGAAGGTGGCTCAAGGGTGGAGACCTGGCCTGGACCCGGAGGGCAAACATCACCTCCCCGAGAGGGCCCCTGGCTGCCCGGGCACCACCCTGGGGCACCGATCACCAGCTGAAGTCATTGTGAGTGCTTTTGTCTCTGTTTGCTGGCTGCCTCCCTGATGGGATGGGGCAGGCGCCTGTGCTGGCTGCACAAATGCAAGGTTGGGGGCGGGCTGTGGGGTGTTGCCCGACATTGTCCCCAGCACCTGCTGTGATGGCACGCCAGGGAGAGGGGGCAGCATGAGGGTCTCCTCGGCCCTAAGCCTGCGGCTGCAGGGACAGCCCCTGAGATCCATCCCCCGGCCGTGTCCTCCCAGGCTCCCACCCCGGGAGCCAGGCTGCATGGCCTGCAGAATCTTCCGGGAGCGTTCCTAAGAGAAGTCTGTGTGGGGACAGTGTCACTCGCTTGGTGTGTGAGTGTTCACAGGTCCTCTGAGCTCACCGCTGGATGCTGAGGCTCAGGGACAGGGCTGTCTCGGGGCCACAACTCCGAGTTCCTGGCCGGAGCAAGGCAGGACGCGCAGCTTCCCCCAAGAAGCTATAATGGGAGCCCGACGGAGACGCCAAGCCTGCTACCTACCCAATGCAGGACTAAGACATGCAGGCTCTAGGTGGCCAGCCCAGGGAGCTGGAAGTCCCCACAGGTGGGCCCTGAGGGTCTTCTGGCCCCCGGCCCCCAGGCAGGAGCCCCCACCCAGCATCACAGATGGGGTGGGGCTGGCTGGCAGTCTCTGCTCCAGCGGCCTGGGGAGCTGGGGCCTGGCGATGCCCTTGGGAGTCGTGTTCTGAGAAGCCCTGGGCTCCCCCCAGGCACACGACGGGGAGTGGGCAGCTCTGTGGGGTGCCAGCAGATCAGGCAGTTGGGAGGAGGGGCTGCAACGTTCAGGGGCAACTGTTCCCCGCAGTTGACACAGCCTGAGATGCCTGCCCCCCATCATCAGAGTGCCTGGGTTCAAGTCCAGATCCGCTTCCGATTCCGGCTTCCTGGAAGGCGCAGGTGCTAGCTCAAGGGGAGATTCAGACCGAGTTCTGCCCGGCCCAGGGCTGCTTGTTGCAGGTTTCTGGGGAGTGAGGCAGCAGATGGAAGACCGAGCTCGCTCTCTGGATCGCTCCCTCTCCCCCTTTTAGATTTAAATTTTTTTCTAAAGCGTGCTCTAATGACTGAAAGCAGACAGGTCAGTTTCCAGTTCTCTGTTTTTTCCTCTTAGTCTTTCTATGCACAGGCAGAGTGGACAGTGAGAGAGACAGAGAGAAAGGTCTTCCTTTGCCGTTGGTTCACCCTCCAATGGCCGTCGCAGCCGGTGTGCTGCGGCCGGCGCACTGTGCTGATCCAATGGCAGGAGCCAGGTACTTCTCCTGGTCTCCCATGGGGTGCAGGGCCCAAGCACTTGGGCCATCCTCCACTGCACTCCCTGGCCACAGCAGAGAGCTGGCCTGGAAGAGGGACAACCGGGACAGAATCAGGCGCCCCGACTGGGACTAGAACCCGGTGTGCCGGTGCCACAAGGCGGAGGATTAGCCTAGTGAGCTGCGGCGCCGGCCGAGACAGGTACTTCTGAATGAGCGCCGTCAGGTTGATGCACCAGACCAAATGGGCGTGTCCTGGGTTCTCTGTGGGCTCCGTGCTCGCGAAGCACAGCTGGGCCCAGGTGCTGGGAAGAGGAGGCCTGGCCGGGGCCGAATGGGGGCAGGGCTGGCGCTCTGTGAGGGATGTGCTGCACGTTTGTACACAGATCCCAGAACTTACAGATGTTCACAGTCTGCGATTTGAAATCCATGTGTTCTCTTTTTTATGAGCCTTTTTGAAGTCGGCTCCTGTGCCTGGATTTAAACTCTCTTTGCACCAAAATCAACATCTTTTAATTCCATTCGTCACGTGCCTTCTGACACCTCCACATACGTGGCAGTCCCAGGGTCCCCAGCCACCAAGCTGGGACCACTGGGCACCAGGCCCACCCCCTTAATGTGAGAAGAGGGGGTGAGGAGAAAGGTGACACCCAGCCCCCTACCTCCAGCCAAAACACCCCTCCCGCACCCTGGTGAGCCCGCCAGGCAGCGAAGGCTCGGAACGGGATTCACAGGCATCACAATCGGTTGCACCTGAGACTGAGTTTATCAGCAACTTCCTGAGGACAGGTCTCCTGGGGGGAGGGGGGCCTGGGGACGAGGCACACGCAGCTCCCTGGCCAGCTGGTGGGAGCAGCCCTCAGGGACTGCGATGGGTGGGTCCGTGCCTCATCCAGGCACCTGGAGGCCCCGCGGGGAGCAGGTGAGAGGGGCAGTGAGGCCCTGCCCTGGCCTCACAGTGCTGCTGATGGGCCCCTGTGCTGTGCCTGAGCTGGCGCCGGGTCCCAGGACCTGCAGTGCCATAGGAAGGGGGCCAGGGCACACCTGCCCCCCGCCCCGGGGGCTGGGCTGGGAAGGGCCGCTGACATTCGTAGCCCAAGCGGGTCCTGACAGGTCGAGAGGCAGGAAGGGAGCAAAGGCAGGGCGCAACGGGGTGCAGCTGTGGGAGGCGGGGCCTGCAGGATGGGGGGGCCCTGAGACGCAGACTGGCAGCCTTTCTTCACAGAGCTGTCACACCTGCGGGGCAAGGGTCCATCAGGACAAGGGAACGGGGTCCCAGGGCCAGGAGGGCACTGGGCCTCGACAGGGAGGCAGCCCTCGGTCCTGGATCCAGGACCTCAAAGCCAGCGGGGCTTGTGGGGTGGGGGGCAGGGTGCGTGGGGAGAAAAGCCAAGCCAGTGAGGGTCCCAGTGTTCCCATGGAGAGGGTGGGGGGTCCCAGCAGCCTGAGCAAGTGGGCAGAGGGCATTCAGGGTTCAGGACGGTAGAACCGCAGGCCAGGTGGTGTGCGCACATGGGCAGGTGCATGGGGGGGCAGGGGGTCTCCCCTTCTGCTCACCTCAACTTCGAAGGAAGCCTCTGGCTTCTTCCCCCGCTGAGTCCTCCTGGTGGCTGCCGCCTCTCTGCGCACCTCCTGAGTGGGCGTCCGAGGGCAGGCAGAGGACTCAGTACTGCAGAGCAGCCCAGCACCGGCCCCTCTTCCAGAAAGCAGGAGACCCCAGGCCCACCCCTCCTCCCCGCTGCCTTCTGACCCGCAGGCCTCTGCCTCCCCTCCCACCGTCCCCACTGCCGGAATGACGCACAGCTCCGGGCCCCGGGCCCCCCCCCCCCATCTGGAATACCACAGCGAGAGGCCCCCGGGAGGGCCAAGGTACCTGGGGGTCCTGCTCTCCGGACTCCTGGGTCCGGCTGATCCACAGGTTTAGCTTTGACGTCACAACCCCGGAGAGCCTCAAGTTCTCCTGAAAAGAGAGGGTTTAGGGCCCCCGGCAGCAAGGGGCTTTCAGAGATGCTGGGTAGGGGGTAGGCTCCTGGCTCACGCCCACACACGCCCACACACGCCACGCGCAGGCCCCAGCTCATGCCCACACACGCCACACGCAGGCCCCAGCTCACGTCCATGCACGCCACACGCAGGCCCCAGCTCATGCCCACACATGCCACGCGCCCCTTACCTTCCTGCTGGAGGCCGGCTCTGGCCGGCTCTGGCCCACCAGTTCCTTCTCAAAGAGGTGGCGCTTGCTGGCGACACCCGCAGGAGCCACAAAGACCTCGGCCCGGGAAGAGCCAGAAGACCTGACGGATTCGGATCTCTGGAGCAGAGGACATGGGGCTGAGCCACGCCCGCCACACCTGGCAGGAGCCCCCGCCCCCTGGAAGAGGCCTCACCTGTATGGCCGTGTGGTATCTCTCCAGCTTCTCGCCCAGCTTGGCCGAGCTGGCCGGGAGCCTCACGCTGGCACTGGGGGATGGGAAGACAGGACAGGCACGGCGGGTGAGGCCACCCCTGGGGGGCCTGAGGGGCGCCCCCAACACATCCACCGCTTTGGCAAAAGGGGATGCAGCCCCTCTCACAGCGCAGGCTGTTAGCGTGGGCCAGGTGAGGAGGCCAACTGCAGGCTTTCCCTCACCTCCAGAGAAAAACCCCACTCGGTAGGACAGGCCCAGGCCCAGGCCCAGAAGTCCCTCCTACCCCTGCCTGAGCCCTTCTCCTCCAACGCCATCACCTCCACCCCAAAGTGTCCCTCGCACCTGTCCCCTCCTCTCTACCCTGTCCACACTGCAGCCACCTCCAGCTCCCCAGCCCTGCTACCAGCCGGCTCTTGCTCGGACCCCCAGCCACAGCTCCCCTCCCCCCACAGCAAGCCACATGCCCACGCAGGGCCAGCTGGACACCCTGGGTCTCACGTGCCGTTCTATTTCAGATGCCATTCCTCCAGCCCCAGCCGCAGGACGCAGCCCCCGTGGGGACGTCAGCCGTGCCAACTCGCAGGCTGGCCAGCCGTGGCTGCCGTGTGCTCCCTGCATCTCCCCACGCCGAGGTCTCCCATGAATGGCTTGAGGGCAGCAAGTGCGTCTACCTAGTCCTGGCCTCCCCAACCCCCAGCAGGGCGGGCCCCAGAGCCTGTGCAGAGGGTGGCGGGGCACAGCCTGAGCGGGTGAAAGTCCCAACTCAGAAGCACAACCGCAGGTGGGCTCCACTCTGCGATTTTCAGTCCAGTGCTCAGGCCTCAGGCAAAGCCCAGGAGTGCTTGTGGACCACACAGCTCCCCAGGCCGCCGGGCCAGGCTGCTGGCACAGAGGCTCCCCCTGCCTTGCGCTGGTCTTGGCTCCTTCCTGGGAGCCCTCCCCGCCTTGGAGCCCCACCGAGCCCTGCCTCTGCCAAGCAGCTCTCCCTGGTCTCTCCCTCCCTGTTCCATCCCACATGGCCTCAGTCCCCATCCTCCCAACCCCCACCAGATTTGATGCCCTGGCCAAGGACGGCCTGGGCCTTCCCCTCCCATGTCCCCTGGGGCAGCCCAGCAGGTGGCAACTGCTCAGAAAATAGAGACTGAGGCGCCGGCGGGTAAAGCCACCACCTGCGACATCAGCATCCCATAAGGGCACCGGTTCATGTCCTGGCTGCTCCACTTCTGATCCAGCTGCCTGCTCCGGCCTGGGAAAAGCTGCAGGAGATGGCCCAAGTGGGAGACCAGGAAGAAGCTCCTGGCTTCATCCTGGCCCAGGCCTGGCCATTCTGGCTATTTAGGGAGTGGTCCATTGGATGAGAGATCTCTCTGTCTCTCCCTAATTCTTTCAGATAAACAAATAAATCTTAAAACAAGAAAGAAAGAAAGAAAGAAAGAGAGAGAGAGAGAGAGAGAGAGAGGGAGAGAGAGAGGGAGGGAGGGAGGGAGGGAGGGAGGGAGGGAGGGAGGGAGGAGACAGGCGGAGCAGGACCAAACAGGAAGCAGCCAAAACTCCCACCTTCGGGTCAAGGTTGTTTCCGAGTTGTCCTTCCTGGGGCTCATCTGAAGTGAGAAGGAAACGGCGGTGAGTGTGATTCCCAGGGAGGGGCGGCCCTTCGGGTGAGGGGCTCAGCTCTTGGGCCCCATGCTTCTCCCAGGACCCTCACCACCACCAAAGAAATGCATGGCCACACCTTCCTACCAGAGAACACCTATGCCACCCCGCCCCTCCCACCGGTCTGGGCCAGGTACCGCAGCCTCAGCCACCTGCCTCCCCACTGCCCAAGAGCCCTGTGGGGCCCTGGTCAGCACCAGGCCTCCAGCCTCCTCCCCAGGGACTGGCAAGTTAGAGGCTACCACGGTATCAGCCTGCAGGTGGATGAGCCAGGGAAAGGAGGAACAAAGCCCACACACAGGGACAAGGTGGCACGAGACTGTCAAATCCATTTAATTTGTGCCCTGCCCAGAGGCAGAGTAGCGAGCACAGGAGAGCCCGTCGCCCTCAGCCCACTGCCCTCCTGGGCAGGCAGCCTGGCCAGGACAGAAGAGGGGCGTCCGCAACCCAGCCCAGCCCTGCAGTTCTGGCCTTCCCCACTAGGTGGTGCTGCTCATGCTTCTGTAGGCTCACAGGGTGAGGTGGAGGAGGGGAGGGGTCCCTAAGCTGCCCTCCATTATTCAATACAGCTTCCTTCGGGGCTCCCATGGGAACCTAAGCCCCACTCTATCTGCTGCAGTGGATGCTGGTGTCCTTGGTTTGACTGCCAGTGGACTGGAGACAGGGGGGCCCCAGGCACTCACCCGAAAGGAGATGGTTCTGGGGCTGGAGCGTTTGAGGGAGCTGCTGTAGGTGAGCTGGGATGGCGAGGATGTGTCTGCCTCTTCCTCCCTGCTGGGGATCTTCACCTGGTCGGGGGGCGGGGGGACAGAGCGTCACATGAGAGCTCCAGAACTGGCCTTCCAGGGCAGGTCTAGGGCTCTGCCAGCTCCAGGCAGCCTCCAACCCCAAGCTGTCGGGGCCTGGCTCATCCCAGGAGCTGCAGAAGGAAGGCGGGAGACAGTCCTGCACCTGCCCCGCCTGCCTCCACTGTGGGGTGGCTGGAACACAAGGCCCCCACGCAGCTGAGCCGCCAGAGCTTTGGCCACCAGGGAAGCTTCTGGAAGGATCAGCTGGGTCCTGGAGCCCAGCCCCGGGCGAAGATGCGGTATGGGGTTCCAAGTGCTCCCTGCCCCATGGCAGGTGCCTACCCCAGCAACCTGCCCCTCTGTTCTGACTGTGACCGGAGGCAGCCAGCGAGTGCAAGAACAGCCAGGCCCAGCCTGAAGGTGGGAGGGCAGGAGGCAGAAGCGAGCTGGGGACCAGCGGGATGGACGAGGGGGAGGCCTGGGGGGGGGCAGGAGCATGGCCAACCTGGAGCGTGATGGGTGGCAGGCGGGAAGCCCCGGGTGGAGGGACGGGCGCCTTGGCAGTGGCCGGGCTCCCTGCAGGGGCTCCCTGCTCCGATGCTGCTGCCCTCTTGGGGGCCGGCTTCGCCTCTGTGGCCGGGGACTTGTCAGAGAGCAGCGGCTTCTCAAAGATGGAGGCTCTCTCCAACACCCGCCTCCCGCCGGAGCCTGCCGGCTTGGCCGGGGCCTTCTCCGAGGCACTTGTCTCTTCCGGGGGCGCCTCCTCCTGGACACCCCTCTTCTGGGGCTCTGCGCTCTTCCCGGGCCGGGGGCTCTTCTCTGGCACGGGCGGCTGCCCGGAGGCGGAGCTCTGCTCAGAGACCAGTCTCTTTTCCGGGGCTAACGTCTTCTCTTCCGGCACGGGGGCCTTCTCCAAGGCAGGGGTCTTTTCCAGAACCTCCTTCTTCCCCGCCGAGCTCTCCTCCTCGCCCTGGGCCCAGAGCCCCCGCTGCTCCCGGCTCAGTCTCTGGTGAGGCGGGGGCTCCGGCTCCTTCCTGGGCACCGGGGGCTGCTGCGCGGCCTGCCCAGCGTCCACGCTGTCCCTTCCCGCCTCGGCCTCCGGCCTCTCCTGGACGGGGTCCTGCAGCGCAGCCTCCGCCGCCTGCTGCCTCTGCCTCTGCCTGCGCTCCTTCCGCGACCTCAGGATGGCCTGCACGTCCTCGTCCTCGTCCTCGTCCTTGGAGGCTGGGGGTGGCGGCGGGGGCGCCTCTGCTTCCTCCACACTCAGCAGCCTGAGTCAGGACAGAAAGAACCAGAGGATCTGGGCTGGGGAGGAGCCCTGGGTGAAGCCGACCCGGGGCGGAGCACCTGCTGGGCCACCAAGCAGGGGTGAGGACGGCAGGCCTTGCTCCCCCGCCACCACCCCTTAGGTAGTCACTCACACACTGGGATTCCAACGTGTCATTTGAACAGTATATAACTCTATGCTTTATGTGTGCCAGGACCTGCACTGGGCACTGGGGGTCAGAGGTCACACACGCAGTTCCTGCCCCAGAGAGCTTAGCTCAAGAGCAGACATGGCCAGGGATTTGCCATATGTCACATGGCTGGGAGTACACCCAAGGCTTCCAATGCCTCCTCCCACACTTCTGTCACTCACGCAGGTGCAGCCGGGACCAGGCGGCAGCACGGGCATTGGTGCAGTCCAGGGCACGAGCAACACGGAGGGGATTGTCCAAAACCTTGGCCCTCTGCCATTTGGCAAACAGATCTTGCTCCTTCCTCACCACACTGTTCTGCGTGGTTTGGGCCAAGTTATTTTACTCAGTTTTCAAGTCTGCAAAATGGGCGTGTTGGAGGTGCCCTGAGAGTGCCCAGCACGGTCCTGCCTGGCACATGGGTGTCACTCGGTCAATGCCCATCCTGCTTTTCCTCTCCATCCTAACCCCAAGGTCTAGGGGGCGAGACCAGCCCCAGTGCCGCCCCTTGGAAGCGCATCACAGAGTGTCGGGACTAGAGGGAGGCAGGCTGAGAAACCCAGAAGAGAACCTGCCCTGCTTCCCCCACTGCACACGTGGGCACGTCAAAAAGTCGCAGAAAATGGAGCTAGAGGATGAGTCTGGTTTGGTCCAAGACATTTTTGAAATCCATGCACACAAGGGGATTTCGAAACAAGCCAGGGAGAATGCTGATTGTGAAAACAAACTAAGCACAGATTTCAAATTTATTCTTGTTCCAGGGTGGGCTCCTGCTCCACGAACTCTGGTGTCGGGACAGCCAGAGTCCTGGTGGACAGGCTGAACGATGCGCACTAAGTTCTAGTCTGGTATCGGTGTTTCCATGACAACCAGGCAGGTCCTGGGGGCTGAGACACTTTCTGCTGGGTGACCACCTGGCTAGCAGCCACTATTGTGGGAAAAAACCCTATAAAAGCCACTCATAAACTTGTTGTTGTGGCTGCTGCCCCGTGCTGGCTGAATCAGGAATGTTCCATCCACCCACGGCTCCCCGAGTGTTCCTCCAGCCCCCAGCCCCGCGCTCACTCCCTGCACCCCAGCGACTGGACAGTGGGATAGGGGTGCTTTGCCTGGGGCAGCAGAGTCGCTCCCCAGGCCGCCCGCCCCGCCCTGCGCACCTCTCGGCCGCCCTCTGCTCTCCGTTCTGGGTGAGCCTGGGGGACTCCTCCTCCGTGGTAGAGCTCAGGTTGCGGTGGCGCCGCCTGCGTTCACGCTCCTGCTCCTCCTCATCTTCCAGAGTGCGCTGTCGGGCCAGGCTGGGGGACAGAGGCAGGATCAGCACAGTCCAGAGGTCAAGGGCCCTGCCCGAGCCACACCCCAAGCAAGGGGATGTCATAAAAGGCCCCAAGGCTGCGCCGCCTACAGACCGCCAAGGGGCCCTGGAACTGCACGGGGTCTGGCCTGAATCGGGCTGCAGCTGGATTCCCCGGGCCTGGATGCAAAGCCTGGGAAGGCAGTGAGGACGGCCCGAGTGCCCAGGCCCCGCTCCTGGCTTCTGGCTCTGGACCAGCCCAGCTCTGGCCACTGCAGCCCTCTGGGGAATGAACCAGTGGATGGAAGATCCTTCTATATAGAACTTTGCCCTTCAAATAAAATAAACATATCTTTAAAAAAAAAAAAAGGCACTAGTAAGAACTGTACACATGGGGGCGTGGCTTGGGCACAGAGGGTAGGGGCCCCAGCTCCTAGATGGGTGTGCCTGCCCCCACCCCGGCTCCTCCACTTCCAGTCCAGCTTTCTGCACACCCTGGGAGGCAGCAGGTAATGGGCCAGGAACTCAGGGCCGGGCCCCAGCCCCTGGGGGCATTTGGGAAATGAACCAGCACATGCAAGATGTGTTTCTGTCTACCTTTCAAATAAAAATAAATTTTTAAAGAAGTGGCTTTTCAAAGAACTGTGCATACTAATTCCACTTCAAAGCAATCATGCTGGATGTACAATGACAACACTGATCTGGCTTCTGCTTTCCCACGGAGACGACCAGGACATGGCGGTGTGTCCATGAAGTCTGCATTGAGAGTCCATCACGTTTCTGCAGATGCTGCAGGGGTCTCTCAGGCCAGGGTCTCTCCTCCCGGGCACTGCCAGGGTAGGGCAGGCCTGACTGTTGGGTGTCACCACACCCCTGGCCTTTGCCCCAGCGAGGAATGGCCTTCCTTCCTCGGTAGACACTCAAACATGTTGCCCAACACTGCCAAGTGTCTGTGGGGGCAAAGTCTCCCCAGGCAAGAGCTGACTCGGGGGCTACAGGCTCCCACCCAGGGTAGGCAGGGCTGGGCCAGAGAGAAGCCCATGAACTTGACAGGTTCCTTCCTCTTTCAGGTCCTGGGACACAGAGACAGCATCCCTCAGTGACAATGGCAGAGCAACCTTCTTGGAGACACTCAAGTCCCCGTGGAATCTCCTGGCTTTGTGGAGGGGCAGACCCAGGAAGACCAATCGCACCCAGAAGAGACCCCAGGGTTCTCGTCCCTCCCCTTTACAGGACCTCTCTGGGCCTCCCTCATATTTCAGAACCAACTTAGCCTCGTCTCGGGGAGCAAGGGCACCCTGCACACCACACTTCCAATCCCTGCCCCCAGACAGACCCTTCATTCATGGGACCAGCCAGGCACTCTCAATCAACCACCACCAATCCATCCATCCGCACATCATCCACCCAGGCACCTGTCAACCAAGCGTCCACTCCCCAGTCGCCTTCCCATTCCCAGTGTCCTTTGCCACTTCTCACCAGTCCATCATCCCTCCCCATCTACCCTCCCTTCCAAAAACTCGCTGAGCAGCTGTGGCCAGGCCAGCACCACGCAGAGAACCAGGGAAGTCTCAGGACAGCACGGCAGGGTCTCTGTTCGGGAGGGACCTACAGTCGAGTGTCCAAAAGGGTATCTGTCCGCAGCTGCCCCAGTATAAACCGCAGACCCTGAGTTGCACGTGACCCGCATTGACAACCTGAGTGGAGACCCCGAGGAAGGGTCGGCGGTGCCGGCAGACCCCTGGTTTCCAGTCTCGCTGCCTGGGGCAGCGTGCCTCCTTCAGGACCCATACCACGGCTCCGCTGTTTTGCAAGGGCCAGCATCCCCATGACGGAGCCAGCACTCACTGCACAGAATTTCTGAGCACCTACTACGTGCCAGGCATGAATCCAGGACTGGGGCACAGCAGGGAGTGGAACCAACAGGGCCCGTCCCTTCACAGAGCCCCTGCAGGGTGGGAGAGCCCCATGCATTGTGCAGAAACCCCATGAACAGGGGGCCAGCGCTGTGGCCTAGAGGGTTAAGCTGCGGACTGCAATGCCAGCATCCCATATGGGTGCCAGTTCAAGTCCCAGCTGCTCCACTTCTGATTCAGCTCCCTGCTAATGCTCCTGGGAATGCAGTGGAAGATGGTCCAAGTGCTTGGGCCCCTGCACCCACGTGGGAGACCCAGAAGCAGCTCCTGGCTCCGGCTTCAGCCTGGCCCAGACTTGGCCATTGTGGCCATCTGGAGAGTGAATCAGCAGATAGAAGATATTTCCCACCCCCTCTCAAATAAATAAGTATTTAAAAAAAAAAAAAAGAAACCCCATGGGCAAAACAAAGTCCACTCATTTTCAGGAGGACAATGGGGAAAGAGAGAAGGTGACAGGGTGGGGAAGGCCCGAGACACAGGTCTTGAGAAGGAGCTGGTGGAGCTGCACCTGCTGGCACAAGAGGAGGGCACAGACAGCAGAGCCCTGATGTGAGCAGCTGTGTGTGCAGGGGCAGAGGGTGGGCAGGGGAGCTGGGCAGAGGGCCTTGGAGGCCAGGGAGAGAACCAGGGTTTCCTTCCAAGTGTGCTGCAGGTCACAGGGCAGACGGGGCACGGAGTGACCCAGAGGGACTCCATCTGTTTCATCTTTGTGGCTGCTGGAAGGACAAGGCTGGGGGGGGGAGGAGGCGTCACTGGGAGGCACCTGCCACTGCCCAGGGACGCGCTGGTGATGGGGACCAAGGAAAGCCACAGGTCTGGGACACACTGTGAAGCTAGGGTCCACAGAGCTCACTAAGGGACGGATGCAGTTGGCGGGGGGAGCTGTGGTTTAAGGGGAAGGGAAGGACTGAGGAAAACCCCTAGATCTTTGGCTTGGGCAGTTCCTAGTGCTGCCATCGGTACGCCCGCTAGTTCACAGGAAGCACATCCTGGAAAACTACGCAGAGAGTTCAACGAATCTGTAGATAGCGGCTTTTAATTCCATTTCCACCCACTTTTTGAAGTCCCCTAGCAAGATGAGCAAGAGCGAGGGAGAGGAACTTGGGGCTATCATCAACTATTTTTAAGATTTATTTATTTGAGAGAGAGAGACAGACAGACAGACAGACAGATATCTTCCATCTGCTGATTCACTCCCCAAATGGCCAGGCTGGAGCCAGGAGCCAGGAGCTTCTTCCAGGTCTCCCACGTGGGAGCAAGGGGCCCAAGGACTTGGGGCATCCTCTGCTGCTCTCCCAGGCCACAGCAGAGAGCTGGATCGGAAGTAGAGCAGCCAGGTCTCGAACCGGCGCCCACATGGGATGCTGGTACTGCAGGTGGTGGCTTTACCCGCTACGTCACGGCGCCGGCCCCAATCATCAAGTCTTCTGAGCAGTTTTAGGGACACTGGTTTTAGGGACACTGGCTGGAGGATGTGGACTCAAAGGAGACTTTCTGTAAACTGAGGTGTCACTCACACAAAGGCTCAGATTTTAAGTTTTGCTCTAAAAAAAAAAAAAAAGAAGAAGAAGAAGATTATGATGAAGAAGAAGAGCAGAGGGTATGGGGAAAAAAAAAAAGAAACAAGTTTGAGAAGCGCCCGGGGACAGGGCATCTTTTGTCTCTAGCCCCAGCATGGCACCTGGCACGCAGCAGGTGTCAACAGGATCACAAGGCCTCCTCCTTCCCCTCCCCTGACCCGCTGGTTACCACGCCTCTGCCTCAGCCCAGAAGAGCAGGGAGCAGGGAGCAGATCCGGAGCCCCCTGAGCAATCCGCCCCTTCTCAGCCCGCCCCGGGGGGAGGGCAGCCCTGCCTCCACCTCGCAGGAAAGGCAGCGCTGGCTTGGAAGGAAACTTCCAGATCCTCCCAGTTCCACAGTCCAGGCAGCTGCCCCTCCCGCGTCAGTCCCAGCCCTACTCCTCCTCAGTGGAGACGGAGGGGGCCCGACGAGTCCCCAGGCTCACCTGAGCCCATGGGCTCCGTGTATTTGCAGATCATTCACTCGTGCACACATGCATTCCCTCGCTCCACACCGACAGGTGGTCCCTATGGTCCCTCACTGCCGCCTCCTGCTGCCGGCTGTCATCTGAGGCCGTGTCTTTGACTCTCTGCTCCTCTGGACACTTTGGGGAACAGCTGGTGCCTCCCACAGCTGAGGGAGCCATAGGCAGGGGCAAGCGGCCCACCAAGTGGGCTTCTCCTCTCCCCTGACCACACCCGTGGGCCCCAGGACTCCTTGATCCTGAGTGACCAGGTTTGCCTCAGGAAAGTGGTCCATTTTTATGAGCCCCACCCCAACCACAGTGAGTGATCAGAGCCTCTGGTCCTCAGAAGTGACTCACTCCCCAGACTGGTTCAGGCCCCTGCTGGAGGAGGCCCAGGTGACAGGAGACCCCTGGCTCACCCGAGCACCACCCCACCCTGGGGGCGGAACCTTATCTCCAATAATCAGGGTTATTGGCCTCTGAAGAGGAGGAAATGTATAGACATGAAAGGGCAAAGGTCCCCCAGGAGGGACTTGGCAGGTGCAGTGGCCTTTGGAAAACCCAATAGTAAGCAAATGGTTAAGTGCCAGGCTCTAAGAGTTACACAAACGCCCTTGACATTGACCCTGTGAGGCAAGGCCATGTTAGCCCCATGGTGCATATGAGGAAACAGGCTCACAAGGGTTAATAACTTTCTCAAGATAGCACAGCTAATAAAAAGAAGGAACTGAGGGGCCAGTGCTGTGGCAAAGCAGGTAGAGCCACCGCCTGCAGTGCCTGCATCCCACATGGGTGCCGGTTCAAGTCCCGGCTGCTCCACTTCCAATCCAGCTCCCTGCTAATGGCCTGGGAAAGCAGTGGAGCATACCACAAGTGTTTGGGCCCCCGGCACCCACGTGGGAGACCTGGAAGAAGCTCCAGCTCCTGGCTTTGCCCTGGCTGTTGCGGCTATCCCGGGTGTGAACCAGCAGATGGAAACTGTCTCTGTAACTCTTTCAAATAAATCTTAAAAATAAAAAAATTAAAAATTAAAAGACAAAAGGAACTGAGATTGCAACCCAGGTCAGTCTCCCAAAAGCTCATGCACTTAACCACAGGACCAAATGCCAGCAAAGGGGGTGAGGTGAGGGGCTGGCCCAACCCAAAGCGATGCCCCACCTCCTGGTGAGTATGCACGGGGAGGAACAGGAAGCCAGAGGACCCAGAAGCTGCAGGATTCTCAGCCCTAGAACCAGCCAGGGCTCAGGGTGCCGCAGGGAGAGCAGAGGTTTGGGGAAACCCAGTGAACTCTGAGCCCCAAGGCCAGGCGCCCAGAGCTGGAGGCCCCAGCCACCCTGGCCAGCTGACGCCACAGCCCCAGTGGCTGCCCTTCCCCTCTACGCTTGCCTCCAGCCCCTGGCCCCCTTTGAAGACACAGCACATCCCTCGCTGTGCCCCCACATGGGGCTGCTCCCTGCCCCCATCCTGACCCTCTGGGGATGGACTCTTTCCTAAAACTCTGCCCTGTTGTTTGGGGTATCTTAACTCTGGAAGTCTTAACTCCCACCTCTCCCGCAGCTGACAGGAGCTGGTTCAATGCTGCTTTTTCCAGCAGAACCTTTTCTCCCAAACTGAGCCCCGTAGAGGGCCTTTATGCACAGGTCAGGCCCAGCCGCTGTGGCTGCAGCCTGAGAGGGTATGGGGGCTGCCCCCAGAAGCATTTGGTGTAGCTCTGGGGTACAAGTGGGTAATGAGCTCTGGGGGACAGCAGTAAGGGAGAATGAGAACAGAGGAGGGAGCAGGGGCCTGGCAATGACCTTGGCCCAGTGTCCAGCCCCTGAGGGGGGCAGGCTTCAGCTCCCCTCTGGCATAATGATGGGCCACTGCGGGTGGTCACTGAGGTCCCTTCTGGCCTTGCTGGCACAGGGAGAGGTGGCCGGGGCAAGGCAGGGGAGGGTTTGGAGGTGGCAGGGCTGCTCAAGGCTCAGGCAAGGGAAATGATTAACCACTGGCTGTTCAGCCCCAGGCACTCTCAGATCCACCCCTTCCACCCCTCACCTCCTGCAGGCAGGCCCAGCCCAGCCAGGCCCAGCCCAGGGCACCAGGCCAGCCAGCTCACCACCGCCACCATCCCCGGGGACGGAGCATCCCGATTCCCACTGAATGCCAAGGACGGCTTGCAGGCTGGCCCTCAGCTGGGTTCCTGCAGCCATAGCCTGGCCCCGGCTGCAGCCACACACGCGTCACACCCTCAGCACAGTCCTCCCCAGCCCGGAGGCTCCGACAGTGACTCACGGCCCTGCCCGCCTGCCCGCTGAGGCTTGTTCACTCGGGGAGCGGGAGCAGGAGCAGTCCTCCGTCCCAGTGTCTCATCAGGGTGACTGCTGGCAGCAGCTGCATCTTCCCACAGGGCTCTGAGGGCTGGGGCCGGGCAGGGAGGGCAGGCCAGGGGCTCCTGTGGCAGGACTGGTTTCTCAGGGCGTCCCTGGCACTCACCCTGGACATCCCGTGGGAACTCGGCCCCACCCCTGTGGCCACATGAGCAAGTGGACAAGCTGAGTGCACACCTCGCTCCCATTTTTGGAGTTCCAGTGCCCGGGCTGCCCACACACACGCCCATCCCCGCGGTGCGTATCCAGACACGCCCTCAGACACAAAATCACATATCCCGTCCTACTGCAGGCTTCTAAGGAAGTCACGTCTTGCTTGCATTTCTAACCCAGCACATAGCACACTCCTGAGGTCTCCCCAAACAAAGAGGGAAATGGAACGTGTTCAGACTCCCCAGCTCCAAACTCAGCCACACAAGAAGCTACTGCCCACACAGCCGTCCCATAAACAGGCTCACCCACACACGGCCACACACACACACACACACACACACACCCCAGCACAGAGGCCCACACCCGGCAGCCGTGGCACACCCACGCCAACCCCATGCACACTGACCCCCATGCAGAGTCCAAGGTCTTGATCCCCAGCCCCACCCTTGGCCCAGACCTTCCCTGGGGCGTGTGCAGCCTGGCTTACCTTTTCCCTTCCCTGGACCCCATGGACCCTCTGCACTGGGATGGCCAGGCCGGGCAACAGCCCCAGTGGATGGTTGAGCCCAAGGCTCTGGGGAATGCGTAAAAGACACCCTGACGCCAGAGGCCTGTGGTACCCACACGGCCAGGGGGTGCCGGTCAGCACCTGCACACGCAGCCCTGACCTCACACTGCAGGACCCAAAGTCCCACCTGGGAGAGCCATGAGACCAATTCCTCCTGGGCAAGAGCCCGGGCAATTGAAGAAATGACCTCCAGCTGTGGGCTATCACCGGGCCTGGGTTTCCTCGGGCTCAGCATGGGGGTGGGAGGAAGGGCTTAGTTCCCCAGGGTTGAGGAGCTGAAGGGGCTTCCGGAGCTTCTGCAGGCAGGTGGGGGCAGTTTAAGGGAAGTCCCCAGGGGCCACCACCACCGTCCCCAGGGGCTCTGACCCCACAGGTTTAGTCCCCTGACCCTTTGGGGCCCCTTCACAAATGAGAATTGCAGTCAGAGGGGGACAGCAGCCATCTGGAAGCCCCCAGCCCAGATGCCACCCTAAAATGCCATGCTGAGAATGCGAACCTCCCCGGGTGTGGGGGAGGGCGTCTGTGCTCTGTGCCCTCTGATCTCAGTCACTGGCCCCTATTCTGCTGACCCATAAGGTGGTGCTGCTCTGCCCTGCCCCCCCCCCCACCTCCCACAGGGGCTGGGGATGCCTCCCAGGGCCCATACCAGCACTCCCCACCTGAGACAGCAGGCAGTCGGGGGCTGCTCCAGAGACTGCAAGCCCGAGATAGGCCTCCCCTCCCCTCTAAAACCTCCCTCTCTCCACAGGTCACAAACCAGGGGCTATGCAGGCCCCAGGAGGAGCACGGAAGCTTCAGGGCCTGTCACCTGGGGGGTCCCGGGTTTGGCCCCAAATCTGACCCAGGGGGTCCTCGGGGCGGCAGGGACGCTCACCTGGACAGCGCCGACCAGTTCTTCCTGCCCACAGACATGCCGCCGGCGTGCTGGCCGCGCTGTGCTCAGTGCTCCGTGCTCCGTGCCCCGTGCTCCGCGCTCCGTGCTGGGCACCCGCGGCCGCGCCTCACCTGCGCCCCTCCCCGCCCGCCCAGGTGGGGTCACATGGCCGCTTATCTCACCCGCGCGCCCCGCGCCGCCGCGCGCCCGTTCGCCGGTCGGAGAGCAGCTGCTGGGGTGTGGGCGTCCCAGACAAAGCCGCACAGACCTCCGCGCCGCCCCGAGCGCTGGGGGACGGGCGCCCCCGGGCCGCGGGACCGACCGACGGGCGCCCGGGCCGCGCAGGACTGGTCGGCAGCCCCGGGCCAGGGCGCGGGACTTCCTGCCCAGAACCAGTCGGACCAGCTCGGCGCTGGGCCGCCTCTTCTCTCCGTGTGGCAGCGGCCAGGGGTGCCGGGGAGTGGGGCACGGGGCGGGACCCGAGGATCGCGGTCAGGCTGAGCTCCCTGCCTGGAAATCGACTTAGCCGGGAGAAACCTGAGAGCAGGAAGCCGAGCGGAAAAGTTAGAGAAGGTACTACGATCTCTGGTCTAGAGCGCCGGGTCGCGCCCTCCCTGCCCCCCTTCCGGAGCTCATGCCGGGACCCCACTGACAGCCAGCGGCATCACTCTCCCGGCTGCATACAAAGCCAGCCCCATTCAAGCCAGCCCCTCCCACTAGGAGAAGGTCAGCTCTGAAAACCATCAGCGTGTCTGAAGCAGCCTTGCATATGGCCTCAGACCTAGGGCTGGAGGGGCGATGGGAGGACGGGACAGGACCCAGCAGCACAGATGACCAGGAGGGGGTTTTTGGAGCCACCAGCCCCGCCTGGCTCCCAGAAGCGTCCATCTGGGCTGGTGCTATGCCAGGTGCTTTCTCTCCAGGAGCCAGCCTCCCTGTTCCCCCGGGTGGGCTGGGCATGGGGACTCTTATCTTCCCGGTGGCTGGGAAGTGCAACTCAGCAGAAGCAGCAGAGAAATGAGGCGCAGCCACTGGCACCAGGATGGGAAGATGGAGGGAGGGTGGAGGGTTGGAGCCGGAACTGGCCCCGCTGCCCTCCCGGCAGCTTCCTTTGGGCTGGTCTGGGGCTGTTGGTCTGAAAGTGCTGAGCAGAACTGGACACACACTGTTCCAGGAGCCTTCCTGCTGGCCACAGGGGATAAGGGTGCAGGGGGGTGAGGGGTTCTGATCCTGCAGTTTCTGAGTGTTGCGCCTTGGGGCAGACTGCCTGGGATCCCTCACCTGCGAAGTGAGAATAATGGTGGCTGGCAGGATGCGGGAGTCGGATGAGTGATGGCCAGGCAGATGCCAGACGCGAGCTGCGTGCTCTCTCCCCAGGAGGAGGAAGGGCAGGGCGCTAGTCCAGGTGCACCCACATTCCGCCTCCCTGGGAACCCAGGGGCTGCTCTTCCTGTGGCTGGCTGCTGGTAGCAGCTCCACACGAGGAGGGGAACAGGCCTGGTCCTGGGCAGTCGGGGCCCTGCCAGGGACGCCTCACAAGCCCAGGAGAGTCGGGTGTCTAAAGCCCAACAGCCAACATCGCTCCGTGGGTAGAAGGCCAGTCCACAGACAGCTCCGAGGTGAGGACAGTAGATCACAGGGCTGGCGCTGTAGCGTAGCCGGTAAAGCCACTGCCTACAGTGCCGGCATCCCGGGTGCAGGTTCCTGTCCCGGCTGCTCATTTCGATCCAGCTCCCTGCTAATGGCTTGGGAAAAGCAGCAGGAGATGGCCCAAGTGCTTGGGCCCCCGCCATTACATGGCAGACCTGGAGGAGGCTCCTGGCCCCTGGCTCCTGGCTCCAGCCTGGCCCAGCCGGCCCTGGCTGTTGCGGCCTTTTAGGGAGTGCTCCTGCAGATGGAAGACCTCTCTCTCTCTCCCTCCCTCCCTCTCCCCCTCTCTCTCCCTCTCCCTCCCTCCGTCTCTCTCTTTCTCTCCTCTCTCTCTCTCTCTCTCTTTGTGTGTGTGTGTGTCTCCCTATCTTTCTATAACTCTGACTTTCAAATGAATAAATAAACCTTTATAAAAGTAAATCCCAGACTTTCTAGTGCCCAAAATGTTCCCAGGGAGCAAGCACTGGACCTAGTTCCCTAACGTCACGAAGCCACTAGCCGTGACTTTCAATGACAGGAATTTGTCCCCACGGTTCTGAAGGCTGGGAGTGTTGTCGGAGCCACGCTCCCTGCAAAGGCAGCAGGCGGGAGTCCTCCGCGGCGTCTTCCTAGCTTTGGTTTGCTGAGTGCTCTCGGGGTTCTTGGCCTGTAGCTGAACCACCCCACATTTTGCCTCCATTGTCACATGACCTCCCATGTCTGTGTCTGGGTCCAAGGTTCCCTCTTCTTCTAAGTGCGTTAGATTGGGGCCCAGCCTAAGCCAGCATGACCTCGTTTTAACTCGATTACACCTGCGGACACCTTACTTCCAAATAAGGTCACAGTCACAGGAACCAGGGGTAATGAGGGGCAGAATTCTGTCATTGTCATCAAGAAGTGTTGGCTTTCAATGACACAAAGATGGTAAGGACGCAGTTTCTGACCTCCAGACAGTCCCAGGCTAGAGAGGAAGATACATACATGCTGGCGCATGACACGTGTGCTCACACACAGGCACATATGTGCCCTGAGCATGTACACCTCGCAGGCACGCATGCACCCGAGCCTCATTCAAGTCAGACTGGGATGGAAACCGTGGAGTTGTGTGACAGGAGGGATTAGCCCTGAAGGAGGCCATCTAGGCTGGGCCTGAAGTCAAGTGCAATTCAGTTGTCAGGGAGGTGGGATGCAGCCAGCTACAGGGCACAGCGCAAAGACAAAAAGGGGGAAGGGGTACTTGGAGCTGAGTGAAAACTCCTGGGCCAGAGCATGCAGAGCCTTCCTCGGCTGCGGGGAGAGGCTGGGGCAGATAGTAACGACCGCTACACGGAGGTAGACGTACAGCCTCCACGTGGGCGGGGAGAAAGCCAGGTGTGTGCACTGACGTGTGTTTACAGAAAGGTGCTGACCTGAGCCATGTGTTGTTTAGGGATTTATACACATCCATCATGTTATAAAGAGTGCCAAGGGGATCACACGGTGGTCTCCCCTACACGCAGGGGATCCGATCCAAGACTCCCAACGCAGCTAACCCTAACCCTGTGGGCACTGCTTTTCCCTGGAATAAAGTTGGGCACAGTAAGAAATTAATGGCTAATTGTAAAATAGCTGGAACAGTACACTGGCATGAAACCCCCAGATCACCACTCTTGCACTTTGGAGTCATTATTAAGTAAAATAAAGGTCGCCTGAACAGACCAGACATGCTGGTGACAGCACGACCCTCAGTGGGGTCACTCACAGGCAGGGGCCGACCACTGTATGGGTGCCCTGGGCGAGAGTGCTGGCTCCTGCTCACGGCAACGGGGCGTGGGATTTCATCTACTGGGAACAGTGCAAATGTAAAATTTATGAATGGTTTATTTCTGGAATTTTCCGATCCATGTTTTTGGGTCACGGTTGACTGCAGGAAACAAAGCTTTAAAACAGCGGATGGGGACTCCTGTGGACACAAGGGTGAGGAGGGGTTGTGGAGGGGGAGGGGGCATGCAGGGGCTTCAAAAAGACCTGCACTACCCCAGTTCCCAGAAGGTACCGTGGGTAAGTGGTTGTTCACTTTGTAACTCTACATTGGGCTGGCGGTGTGGCCCAGTGGGTTAAGCCACCAACATCCCATATCAGAGCATTGGTTCAAAACTTCCCATCCAGCTCTCTGCTATGGCCTGGGAAAACAGCAGGAGATGGCCCAAGTCCTTGAGCCCCTGCACCCACATGGGAGACCCTGGGGGAGTTGTTGCCCTACGTGTTCTTGGGCACTGGAGGCATGAACAAGTGGATGTAGACTCTCTTTGTCTTTCTGTCTTTCAAATAAATAAATTTCTAAAAAAAAAAAAAATACACATAGGTAAGAAACTTAACATGAGCTGGTCACTTCCTCCCGGGGAAGTCCAGCAGGGCCGAGTCACCACAACCAGGAACCCCCGGTCAAGGGCAGGGTTTTCCAAGGTTTCTGGGATTCCCAGACGCAGGGTTCAGAGCTGGGTTCTCCTTTCCCAGAGGCCAGAGCAGAGAGATGGGGCATCCCCAACCCAGCCAGCCGGCGGGGAAGCACGGCTGACATTTCAGCTTCGTTCCTGTTCTGTCTCCCCACTGAGGCGCCACCCTGGCTCTTAGGGCAAGAGGAAAATGAAGGATGCGTCCAGGTAGCAGCCCCCTGACTCGTGCTGTTACAGGGCGATATGTGGATCTATGAACTCCGGAACGGTGTTGCCACCGCTGCACGTTGTAAACTAAGACCCTTAGAAAACAGTGGGCAGGCGTGTTGCACAGTGGTTAAGGTATAGTTTGGGAAGCCTCTGTTCCATGTCACAGGGCCTGGGTTCAAGTCCCGGCTCCCTTTCTGATTCTGGTTTCCTAGTAATTTGCACCCTGGGAGGCAGCAGGCCATGGCTCAAATGGTCGCGTCCCCACAGGGGAGACCCAGATGGAGTTCCAGGCTCCTGGCTTTGGTCTGACCCAGGCCTGGCTGTTGCAGGCATTTGGGGAGTAAAGCAGCAGAGGGAAGACTGTCTCTCTGCCTTGCAAATAAAATTTAAGCAAATAAAATTTTAAAAGACTAGAAAAGCACTAGCCACAAGCTACTCTCCTCCCATCCCATATTTTAATATTATAAAAATAGAATTAAGGCCTACTTTCAGTACACACTCAGCTCTAGGAACACCTCCCACCCTTTGGGGCCCTGGTCTCCGAGCAGCAAAAATGCGGGTAGCAAAGAGCCAACAGAGGAAAGCGTTGCATGGGACCAGTACAGGGGACACCCGGGTGTTTATGCCACTTGGGGTCAGCAGGCCCGCCTCCCTGGGGACTGCGTGCCAGGCACACACCGGCTCACCCCTGCAGCCGGCGGCGGCCACACTCCCCACACCCCCACCCAGGGCTCCCAGATCAGAGCCTCAGCTGCACCACACACAGGAGGCTGTGACTCTCTCTTGAAGCCAGGGCGAGGGGCCAGGCTCCCCAGCCAGGGTCTCCTGCCCAGTGAGCGAAGCCAGTTGCCGGTGCGGTCGCAGGCAGGGTGCTGAGTTGGGGCCAGGCACGGGCAGCCTGCTCAGGTCTCCCTGCCTGGGCTTGCTCACGTCCACTTTTCTCCACGGACCGGGAGTCCAGGGACCTCTGTCCTAGCCCTGGTCAGCCCTGTGACCTTGAGCCAGGCACTTTCGAGACCTGCGGTACGGAGCGCGGCTCTCTGCCGGTGCCACAGCGTTTTCCCAGCTCCCTCTGCTCAGCCTCGGCTCAGGGGACCCCTGGGCCAGTGTGGGAGAGTGTGTGCTGGGAGGAAAAGCCCGTGCCCCTCGCCTCCAGGGAGGGACCTGCAGACTGGCGACAGACAGGGACTGTTGAGAGAGAGAGACTCGGAGGAGGTCAGGGGAGGAAGCCACCATCTGCCCTGGTCCCAGCGGCCTGTCCCGGGCTCTGGCAGCTTGGTCACCCACCCGGAACAAAACTGCCCCCCTGTTCGCCCAGCCCAGGGCCCCGTGGGGAGTGTGACTCGCTTCGTGGGGGGCCATTGTGGCTAACGTTTAACCCAGCCCCTCCTTCAGCAGTCCTGAGTGCCGGGCCTGGCCTGGGCCGCCCCGGCTGCTCCGTGCGCTCTGGACACACGGCTGGGCCCCGCCTCCTTGCCCCAGGGAGACTGAAGCCTCCCCAGGGCTGTGGGACTGGCAGGGTGGTAGCTGGCAGTTTCCTACCCTGGACACTCCCACCAAGGTGGGACCAGCTACAGAAAAAGGATGCGGGAGCAACAGACGCCCACCGCGACCCCTGGCCCCGGCCCTCTCAATGCTGTCCCCTTGGGTCGGACAAGTCTGATCCCAGAAGAGGGGTCCCAGCGGTCTGTGTGCAGCCGGCCGGCCATGAACCCGGGGCAGCTGCCTGCACACCCAGCCTCTGGTCAGCGGCATCTGTCGCCCAGGCCTTTGTGAGAATTCTGTGAAAGCACTTAGCGTAGGCATGATTGTTACAATAAAGATTCTCACTGAAGCAGAGGCTAAGAGTGGAACAGACTTCCTGGGCTAAAGCCCAGCTCCACCACTTCCTTGCTGTGACTGGGGTGAGGGTGGTGGTGGGGGGGGTTAATCGGCCTCTCTCTGCCTCAGTTTCCCCCTCCAGAACACAGGAACAGCAATAGCATCCTTCTCCCAGGGTGGCTGGTGGCGGTTGAAGGGGTTTAGAACAGAACGTGGCGCATGGCAAACTGTAGGGGGTGGGGGAACAACCTCCAGCCTCGCCAGGAGGAGCTTCTCCCAACCCCACCCCCACACACAAAGGAGCTGTGGTGAGACACAGCACTCCAGCATCCTGTCTCTCCCCATCTGGGTTCACGCCAGCCCCGGGGTGAGTTAGGTCCCGGCCCCCCAGGGAGCAGGAGGGAGCAATGACCTCCAGGAGCCTGAGCAAGCCTCTGCCCTCCCCCAGGGCCCCGCCCCCTCCTCCCACGGGGCCAGGTGTTTGCTTTGAGTCAGGCCTGGGGCTGCTCGCCAGCCTGTGTAGGGCAGGGTGGAGACCCTGGTCTGCTGGGGCCCCAGGTTAATGGCCGACTGAGATTTGCCTCTGGAACTTGGGGCCGGGCTGTATCAAAGAGCTAGGAAGAGGCAACAGACAGGAGCCCCGCCTTGGAGCCGGGCCAGCTGGGAGGAGCCCTGGGAGGCGGGGAAGGGTGGGATCGGTGGTGGTGGCTGTCCGGGCACGAAGCCTAGCCCCATCCTTGGTGGCACGGACCAGCCCCATCAGGTTCGTCCGCTCCCGGGGGTGACTGGGTGTGTCTGGGTATGAGGGGCGCTGTGCGCTCTGTTTGCACACATCTGGCTTCCTTCCAGCCCTGGGCCAGCGTGGCTGGTCCCCACTGCTGGGATTCCTGGGAGGGCTGGCACTGCACTTTGCACCAGCTTCCGGTATTTATGGCAGATGATACACGGGGCTGGGGGGTAGGACAGGACTCAGCGGGGGATGGTGGAAAGGGGCTGCTCAGCCCCTCTGGGTCCAGTGCTGGGCACCAAGAATCCAAACGACCCCAGCTCTGTACCACGTGCGTCCCTGTAGGCTCAGCTCAGGAGTCGCTGCCACACTCCCCTTTGAAGCCAGACGCCCCTGGCCCAGAACTTGGTCTCTGCTCCCCTAGAGCCACCTGCTCGGTGAATGGCCCCAGCAGGCTCAGGTCCCTCCCCAGCCTTGGGATCCTCGGGTTAGTGGGATGAAGAACGGGTCTGACCCACAGGGCTGACCACTGGCCGCCTCACTTCACAGACAGGATGGAGGTGGATGAAGGTGGACGGGGCAGGGGCCCCAAGGACAGGGCATGCCCCAGGGACAGAAACCAGGGAAGGAGCCACCTGGAGGCCAGATGTGGGATTGCAAGGTGTCCTCCTGGCACGGCCGGAGGCTGAGCTCCTGGGCTGTATCTGCAGGACCAGAGGAGGCCAAGCAAGTGCCCCGACCTCTTAGGCCAGAACAGTCAGGTACATGTGGTGGGCACCAGGGAGAGGTGATCCAGTCAACGGGGCACGGGGAGCATGAAATCAGGCTGGACTGAGTAGTGAGGCCCCTCTGGACAGCTGGTGTTGGGGGCGCTCACTGACCGTGCCACCAGAGGTCAGGGCTGTGGTGAGGGGGCCATCCTGGCTGGTGCAGGGACTGCGTGGTATCACCGGGGCTGCAGCAGCAGCTGCCAGCTCCTTAGCCAACCACTCTGACCGCGAGCTGCTGGCTGGGGACCGGAGCCCAGCCCAGCCCCCCTGTCACAGGCTCTCTGCCTTTCCATTCTTCCGAGTGTTCACAGAGCCGGAGAAACAAGCGGGAAACTAGGTTTTTAATGGAGAGGCTGCAATGTCTGGGGCCCCTGTGGCTGTCACAGCAGCAGTGCAGGGAGACAGCCCGGGGCTGGCAGGAAGGGGCCATGCGGACTCTGCTCCAGCTGCACCACGGGGGGTCAGGGAGGCCCTGGTGCTGGCTTGGGGTCTTCAGGCATGCACCTGCCCTTCCGCTGTCCTGTGCTGTCTGTTGAATCCCAGCTGCAGAGGAGAGCGTGCACGCTGCAAGAAAGAGCAGGGGCAAAGAAGGGGTCGCAGGGTTGGGCGAAGGCACAGGAAGCGGGAGCCCAGAGCACCGGCGGCCTGGTGGGACAGAGAAGAGGAAGCGGTCAGCGCCCAGGGACCTGGGAGCCGTAGACGCAGCCCTGACCCGCCAACAGCATGTGCAGTCCACAGGGCTCCTGCAAAGCCCCGGCTTCCCAGCCCAGGGTCCACGTTCCTTCCACTGCTCCTCTGGCTGCTTCTGCCTGCCTTCCCTTCTCCCCCATGACCAGCCCTTCCTCTCCATCCACCCGCTCACCGCCCTTCTTCTCCAGGAAGCCCTCTCTGTCCACTGCTACCTGCAGACTCTGCCCCACAGCACACCCTCCACACAGGGCCCAACATGGCCTCTGCACGGCCCTGTCCAGTCTCTCTAGCTAATCTTCCCAGGGTGGGGGCTCTGACCGGCTCTGAGTGGTACCTCCCTGGGAGCAGGGACTGTGAGGGCTGGGCACCCACAGGGTGCAAAAGAGAGGACATTGCCAGAAAGGATGTAAAAGTTCAAGTTTAGGGGCCGATGTCCTGTCACAGCAGATTAAGCCACCGCCTGTGACAACAGCATCCTATAGGGAGCCAGTTTGTGTCCGGCCCATTTTACTTTCCATCCATCTCCCTGCTAATGGCCTGGGAAAGCAGCAGACGGCCCCTGCCATCCATGTGGAGACCCAGATACAGCTCCTGGCTTCGGCCTGGCTCACCCCTGGCCATTTCCAGCCATGTGGGGGATGAACCAGCAGGTGGAAGATCTCTCTCCTCTCTCTCTTTGTCTCCTTCACCCTCTCCCAAACTCTGCCTTTCAAAGAAATAAATAAATCTTTTAAAAAAAAAAAAAAGCTCAGGTGTTCAGAAAGTCAGAGCTGGAGGGGAGGGGCCCCGGGGATCACCTGCGTGGTGGGTGGTTCTCAACCTGGGCAAACATCAGCATCATCACCCCACCCATGTCTCCACGACAGCGGGTCTGGGGTGCTGCACACCCATGCAGCTGGACACCCATGGATCTGCCACAGCCCTCGGGCTTGTAGACGAGGGGAGATGACAGGAGCCGGGCCTGAGCCCCCAGGGGCTGCCTCTCTCTGGTACCACCCCCAGCCCAGCCCTGCGGTCCCTGTGGGAGAAGGGCAGGGGTGCCGGCACCTTTACTGTGAGGTCGGGGACTTGGCAGCGTCAAACATCTTCTTGCGGCCCTCCATCCCGGACATGGCCTCCACGTTCTTCCTCCAATCGCCCACCTCCACGGGCCGCTCCTGTGGGTGGGCCACACACACATCAGACCCATGCCCTCTCCCCACCCCACCCCCTACTCCCGCTCAGGCTGGCCAGCCTCCTCCCAACAGCGGGGAAGGGACACCTCTACCCAGCCAGGGGGGCTGAGGATGGGCCAGACAGCCCGCCGGGGACCCAGCCCAGGCTCCGGAGGAAAGAGGAGGCTGCAGCTCCCGGCGGGTCCCAGGCCCACCCCACTCCCCAGTCTGAGGCTCTGTGGCTCAAGGCCATCTCCCCCGACTAATTTGGCGTTTGCTATCTTGTCCGCATGTGGCTGGGCCCATTGCTCCTCTCTCTGAAGCTTCCTGGGCCAGCAACCATGTCTAAGATTCCTGCTCCTCCCAGGGTCAAGTCTTAGCACACACACGGGGTTTTCAAAAGGTTCACAAAAACACTACGTGGATTTCAAAAGAATTCTGCACCAAAATGAATGCATCTTTGAATCCCATTTCTCTAAAATTTGTGGAAGTGCCCTGGGACAGAGTTGGGCCAACCCTGAGTGAGCGACTGCCCTGGGTCCCCTGCCGCCCGTGTCGCTGTCCACCCAGCCACAGGAGGTGCTGTCTCCACAGCCCGTCCCCTAAAGCTCCGTGTTCGCTCCCGCTGGGCGCAGGCAGCGTCTCACTGGCCTCCTCCCTCTGGCTCTCTTTCTGGCCCTGTCTCCTCCACAGACCAGGAGCAGCTTGGAGGGAGTGGGAAGGGAAAGTCCCTCCTTCTGACAGTGGTCTCCCGAGGGTTCTAGAATGTTCTCACAGGCTAACCAGCCTGCAGCAGGAGCTCGTGGGCCTGCCCCAGACTGTGTGAGGGGCAGCAGGGGAGGCCGGCAGGGCAGGGGCTGGGAGGTTCTGGGGAAGCGGCCCTCACCTTCTCCGTGTCCTCCTTCTTCACGGACTTGAGGTTGGCCCGCAGATCCATGGACACCTTGTGCTTGGAGCCCAGCAGGGCCCGGAGCATGGCGTCGGCCGAGACGCGGACCCGGCGCAGCGGCGGGCGCTTGAACTTCCCACGGAGGTCCAGCACCTTGAGCTTCAGGTCCTTGATCTGCGGGCAAGAGGGGCCCAAGCTCAGGGGAGAGGGAGCTAGAACCAAGGGCGGCCAGCGCCCCAGCCCGAGGCCAGCCCGTCCCCTCAGACCCACCCATCGCTTTGCAAAGAACCCCACACAGATGCATATGAATGACTTGGGGTGGCTGAGGCCCAGTGGATGCCCCATCACTGTAGCCCCGAACAAGGGGCCCTGCCCATCCCAGTTCTGCTCGGTCTGGAGCCCTGTGTGGCCCTGGGCTGTTTCCTCGCTGCTGCTCCCAACTGTCCCTCCCTGGTGAGGTGTCAAAGCCTCCCACAGCCTTGGTCCAGCAGGATGCCTGGCCCCAGGCCTGGGACCGCCAAAGGACTCTCCAGGGCATGGTCTCTGGGGTGCCTGTGACCCCACAGGTCATCACTCCTGGGATGCAGAAGTGGCTTAGGGACCTCCAACCCTCCTCTCTGCTGGGACAAACTCCCAGAAGCTGCCAGCCCCACTGGAGCAGGGTCTGGACCAACTCAGTGCTCCCATGCCCCATGCCCCAGGGTAGTGGGGTACCGAGCACTAGACTGGGAGCCTGAGGCTGGGAGGTGTCCCAGGACCACCACTGTGTGACCTGGGCCAAGCTCTTAGCCTCTCTGAGCTTCCGTGTCCTCATCAGCTGGTGTAGGTAATGGCCCCGCCTCCAACCAGAGGGGCGGCAGGTGGAGCACAGGTGGGAGTGCGCTGGGCCAAGGTAAGCGGTCATTGACAGGCATCTGTTAGTGTGGGGGAAGGGCAGCTGCTGTCGGACCGAGGGCCCGCAAGGCAGCAGTGCTGCTCCTGTGATTATTGAATATTTTTTGTTTTGACAGGCAGAGTGGACAGTGAGAGAGAGAAAGACAGAGAGAAAGGTCTTCCTTTGCCGTTGGTTCACCCTCCAATGGCCGCCGAAGCAGGTGCGCTGCGGCCGGTGCACCGCACTGATCCAATGGCAGGAGCCAGGTGCTTATCCTGGTCTCCCATGCGGGTGCAGGGACCAAGGACTTGGGCCATCCTCCACTGCACTCCCGGGCCACAGCAGAGAGCTGGCCTGGAAGAGGGGCAACCGGGACAGAATCCGGCGCCCCGACCGGGACTAGAACCCGGTGTGCCAGTGCCGCTAGGCGGAGGATTAGCCTATTGAGCCACGGCGCCGGCCGATTATTGAGTATTGATTGTCCTCTGGGCCTATCTCCAGCCTCCTGCCAAGGGGTCACCTCCGAGGCCCTCCTGTCACCACCCAGCTCAGCTCAAACCCCCCCTCCCCACACCACCTGCCCGGCCCCTCGCCCAGACTCACCTCCCTGGTGTTGTGCAGGCATTTGGCCTCGATGTCGTAGCGCTCCTCATCCACCACCTCCACCTTGGCGTGCAGCTCCCGGCACAGGTCCTGGGGCGAGTGAGGGACCAGGCGGGAGTGAGACACCAGCCTCCAGCCTCCCTTCTCCCTCCACGTCCAGCACCCTGGGCCCTCCCCCTGGCCCTTTTCCGGATACCGCTCTGGAGGGGAACTGCCAGACTTGGTGGCTTTGAGGCTGGGCTGGGCTCAAGGGAATGCCTGCTCCCCAGCACTTTCTTTTTTAAAAAAGATGTATTTATTTTATTTGAAAGGCAGAGTTACAGAGAGAAAGAGAGAGAGGTCGTTCATCTGCTGGTTCACTCCCCAGGTGACTGCAATGGCTGGAGCTGCACCCATCTGAAGCCAGGAGCCTGGAGCCTCTTCCGGGTCTCCCACCCAAGTGCAGAGGCCCAAGGACTTGGACCATCTTCTGCTGCTTTCCCAGGCCATAGCAGAGAGCTGGTTCAGAAGTGGAACAGCCAGGATTCGAACCAGCGCCCATATGGGATGCCGACGCTGCCGGCGGTGGCTTTACCAGCTACACCACGGTGCCAGTCCCTCCTTATTGCTTTCTCGCAATGGAAATGAAGAGCAGAGATTTGGGAATTCATGCTTTAAACAAAATGATAAAAAGAGCCAGCGATGCCACCACCGGCGTGCTGATATTTTCCCTTGCAGCTTCTTCCCTCAGCAACCGCTGGACTGAAAAGGTAACCAATATTTTAAACACCTTAAACGTTGAGGCCTATGTTGTGGTGCAGCAGGTTAAGCCACCAGCTATAATGCCAGCATCCCGTATGAGTGCCAATTCAAGGCCCCGCTGCTCCACTTCTGATCCAGCTCTCTGCTACTGCACCTGGGAGGCAGCAGAGGATGGCCCAGGTACTTGGAACCCTGCCACCCAGATGGGAGACCAGGATGGAGTTCCAGGCTCCTGGCTTCAGTCTGGTCCAGCCCCAGCCATTGTGGACATTTGGGGAGTGAATCAGAGGATGGAAGACCTCTTTCTCTCTGTCACTGTGCTTTTCAAATAAATCTTTAATATAACTAAATAAATAAAAATAAAAGCCATTAAAGGCCTACCTCTAGGGTTAGGCAGGCAAGCCTTTGAGAAACGGGGCTTTCTGAGTCTCGCCTGCATGGCACTGGCTGCTGACCTGAAGCCAGGTGCCTGGTTTGGCCCCGCCTCACCTCCCACACCTGTAAAATGGGATCTGCCATCTCCACCTCACAGGTGGTTGTGGGGATTCAGTGAGAGCACCTGTGTGTCACAGGACTCCAAGCCCATGTTAGTGCAGGCCCCTGCCACCTGGTCCCTGCCCCCCCCCCCACAAGGTGCCCAGCCCAGCCCAGCCCCGCCCCGCCCAGCCCAGCCCAGCCAGCTGCACTCACCTGCAGGGCGCTAAGGGACAGGCCGCGGGTCTGCAGCGCCGGGATGCGCTCGGCCAGGTAGCGCACCTTCTCAGCCTCGCGGGCCTCGTGCTCCTGCTCCCAGCACTCCTTGGCCTTGGCCAGCATCAAGCTCTGCACAGGACAGACCTGCTGAGCCAGGCCTGGCCCCTGCCACGTCCCACCCAGCAGGGGGGAGTGAGGAGAAGGTGGCCCTTGGGGCTGGGCAGGCTGAGAGGCCACTGCTCACTGTGGGCATGTGGGCGGGGGCCACAGGACAGCTGGGGTGGAGAGGCACCAAGTGGCCATGCAAGGCACCCTGGGCCCCGCGGCTCACGTGCCCATCCCTGTCTTCCTTCTACCTGCTTTTTGCCTGTTTGGGGCCCTAAAGCTCCAAAGAGAGAAACCCACATAATCAAGCAGGACCCTCTGCCCCCACCCCCGGGGAGCGCACAGCCCACCCCTCCCAGGACCCCAGGCGGCTGCCAGGATGCACACGCCCCTCCTCCACAGACCACCTGAGCCCAGCCCTGGCTCCAGCAACAGCCAGGCCCCCCGCGCCTCCTCCTTAGCCTTGCTGTGGCCCCCCTCCTCTGCTCCCCCGTGACCATCCACCCCCCCCCCCACGGAGCCAGCCCCCAGCCTCACCTTCAGCAGGAGCTTGCGCGAGGCAGTGATCTTGGATTTTCTCTGAGGGTGAGAAATGGGAGAGACAGGTGGTGAGGCGGAGGCTGGAGACCTGGGACTCACGGCCAGACCAGGCTGAGGTGCAGTGGGTTCCACCATCATTACCCAGAATGCTCATCTCAGGAGCCTTTAAAAGCTCAGCGTGATGATCTAACCCCTCCAACTCAGAAAACACTCTGGTCAGCTACCAGGACATCGGGGCTGACGCCCCACTCTGGCTCTGCTGCTGGTGGACCCTGTAAGAGCCTGGCTGGGTCACATGGCCGCTAGGTGGCCCCCTCCCATCCTTTGCACCTGTCACAGGGGACTAAGACCCACCCACCCTACTTAGCCTATCTTCACGCACATCAAAACTTTTTGCCACCTTAGCGCACTGCCCATCGAAATCTAAGCCCTGAAAACATACTCTGCTGCTCCTATCAACAACACTAGCCGCGTCGGTGCCCACTGGACACTTCCGGCGCGGTGAGACGGCTGCTCGGCCCCTGACTTGCTTTCTGAGCACTGTGTCTCTTTGGGGCCACAGCTGTCTCTTCTCGTGTCCTCTGCTCCTCTTCTTCAGCCTGGGGTTCTGCTGCTTTAAAGAGAAAGGGCTCTGGGGCCGGTGCTGTGGCGCGGTGGGTTAAAGCCCCTGCCTGCAGCGCCAGCATCCATTATGAGTGCCAGTTTGAGTCTTGGCTGCTCCACTTCCGATCCAGCTCTCTGCTATGGCCTGGGAAAGCAGTAGAAGATGGCACAAGTCCTTGGGCCCCTGCACCTGCTTGGGAGACCTGGAAGAAGCTCCAGGCTCCTGGCTTCAGGTCAGCTCAGCTCTGGCCATTTTGGTCATTTGGGGAGTGAACCAGTGGTTGGAAACATTCTCTATCTCTACCTCTCTCTGTAACTCTTCCTTTCAAGTAAATAAAATAAATATTTAAAAAAGAGCGAGAGAAAGGGCCTTGGCGCTGGGGCTCGCCGTAAGATGAGCCAAATGGAGGAACTGGTAACTACTGAACAACAGTGTTTCCATCCTCACTGAGGGTCGTGGTGCGAGCAACCCCTCCAATAGCATGGCCAGGCCCCACCTTTGCCGCAGCCCCGACCCTGGGCAGCACAGAGGCTGTGCGTCCAGCACCCGTGTCAGGCGGGATCGTAGAGACTGGCCAGGGTTGGGGCCATCTGACGCCTCGTGGGAGCCTAAGGACGTGTCTTTGCTCCTCCCTCAACATTCGGCCGCCAGGCAAGACTGCAAGAAGCCATTGCCGACTCCCTGCTGCTGTCCCAGCCCAGAGACTACCCCGCAGAGACGTTGTGCATGGGGACAGCAGCTCCCTGGGCCCGGGAAGCCCCGCAGCCAGAATCTGCACTCGTGGTCTCTGTCCCCCAGCTTCGCCACTGGGCACTGCCACCCCAGACCCCTCCCCGGGGCCTTGACCCACGCTCTGCACCCCCCTCCCAAAGCCCACCCTACCTTCCCCGGTCTGAGGACTTGACACACCCCAAGCAGCTCTTACCTCACTTCAGGCACCCATCACAGGAAGGCAGGGAGAGAGCAGGAAGAGTACACGTTATTATCACACAGCAGGGCCTACACGGGGACCAGGGGCAGGGACAGCAGGATGCCAGAGAGCCATCAGGTGGCAGGCACCCTCAGGAGCTTGGGCCACAGCGTCGGGGAGGGGGGGCCGAGCTCGGCTCGGAGGCTGGGAGGACAGGTGGCAGTGTGGAGGAACCCCGAGTGCCGACCCAGCCCCCCTGGACCTGTCCCTGTCTAGGATCTCTTCTCCTGGGGAGTAGCCTTCAAGGGCTGACTCTGCAGCAAGGGGACACTGGGCCTCGTGGAGGCCTGGGCAGGGCGGGGCTACTTACACTTCCGGCATGGCGGCGACGGGGCAGCACCTGGACAGAACAGAGGAATGGCACCTCAGGAAAGTCACAGCTCCTGCCCCGCCCCCACCCCGCTGGGCTTGGGAGTCGGAGTCAGAGGTGCGAGGAAAACACAGACAGAAAGGCCCCGGCAGACCGGGACGGGACAGAGCGTGGGTCAGGGTCCCAGGCCGACTCCAGCCCCCTGCCTGGTTTTGCCTAAAGGATTGTAAGAACACGGAACATTTAGGTGAACTTAAAGCCTGGGATAGTTAGCTACCTGACACTTGCCGGAAAAGGAAAAGTTGGCCGATCCCACCGCGGGGAGCCCCGGAAGGAGAATGGAGCAGAATGGAGACACGCATTCAGGGAGCCACCACCTGGCACAACTCCAGGGGGCACCACTCACACCAAGGGCTTTGAGCCTGGCAGCCCTGGGAAGGGCAGTGGGCAGGCAGCGATGCTGGGAGGCAGGGCAGACCCCGGTCCCTGCCCAGCCTGGGCAGGTTTTCCTCCCGGCCAAATGAGTTGGGTGAGTGGTTTCCCGCTTCATACACTGCCCTTGGGCCCTTTCTTTCTTTTAAAGATTTATTTCTTTATTTGGAAGAATTACACAGAGAGAGGAAGAGACAGAGGGAGAGAGATCTTCCATCCACTGGTTCACTCCGCAAATGGCCGAAACAGCCGGGATGGGCCAGGCTGAAGCCAGGAATTGGGAGCTTCTTCTGGGCCACCCACATGGGCGCAGGGGCCACCCTGCACTACTTTCCCAGGCTCAATAGCAGGGAGCCGGATCAGAAGCGGGGTGGCTCTGCCACGAAGCCGGCCCTGGGCCCTTTCTTCAAACCAAATCTTCCTGGGAAGCAAAGCAAATTCCACAGGGGCCTGTGGCACTGGCTTGGGGCGGAGGCATCTGCCGTGGGAGCCCCATCTCTGGGAGGCCGTGGAACACAGTCCGACACCCCCTGAGCAGGTGGTCCCGGGGACCCTGGCCAACACGGGGGCCCTTGAAGATACAGAGGAGGTTCCAAAGCCAGACCGACTGCCTGTGGCTGGGCCTGGACAGAGGGCATTCCAATGGGGGGAGGAACGGACGAGAGCCCAGGGGAAGGCCAGTACCAGCTGGGGTGGGGAACAGGTGTGCAAGGTGGGGCAGGAGAGGGGCAGGGTTGGGGCCCAGGGTTTGGCTTGAGGACCTGGCCCGGAGCAGCGGAAGGCCTGCCAGCCCCAGGGGCAGCTCTTGCTCTGCCCTGCCTCTGCTCTCTGCCACGCCACGAATCACAGCTCCGTGAGCAGGGCTTTGGACGCCTGTCCGGAATCTCCCACCCAGCCAGAAAGCCTCTGGGCCTCCACCTGTGCCCCCACCCCCAGGGGAGGGGAAGTGTGGCCCCAGAGTCCCAGCTGTCGCCATGGGGCACAGAGGGAGAGGTGTGGAGAGAATCCATAGATTCCTGGCGTGCTTGGCTGAAATTAGCGTTTACAGGCAGCTGCTTCTCCCAAGGGCTCTGCTCCTCCCAAGACACTGAGTCCAAAGGAAACAGTAGCTGCTGGAGCCATCCCCAGGTCCATCTGTCCGCCTGTCCTGCCAGTCCCCAGGGGCACCAGGTCTCAGCCCAGCGGCTCCGTGTCTGTCTCCTGGGCTGTGACTCAACATTGGCGGGCATCTGGGCACTGTGCGGCCCTACTTGCTGAGGCCAGACCTCCTGCCAAGCCCTGGGGCCTGCCCCCAGCCTGCCCCACTGACAAATGCCAGGCCAAGGGTCCCACGTCAGGCAAGAGGCTCCAGCCTGGGCTGTGAGAGCCACCACATGGGACCCTTGACAGGCCCTGGGGAAGATAAGCAGGGTCCTGATAAGAGCATGGCCCAGAGTGCCAGGGCTCCAGCCCACCCCCCACAAGTAGCAGGCGATAATGAGAAAATCCACAGTCAGGGGACAGAGCCCAGAACCTCCGGAGGGTGACTCAGAAGGGGGCTGTCCCTTCCCTGAGGCCCTGTGGGGTTTGGGAAAGCTGTGAGCTGGCCTGTGACTATATGAGTATGCATGTGAATCCAATTGTGTGTGTGAGATACAAACATGAGAGAGAAAGGGAGAGAGCAAGCTGATCTCTTTGCACACCTAATAACCAGGGATGCAAATATCTGGTTAGCCTCATGCCCGTCCCCTGCTCCCCACCCTCGACCTTGGACACTAGCCCAAGGGCATCCCTATCCTCCGTGACGGACAGCTATCAAGGCTGTACTTGCAGCCTGGGATTATGGACTCTACCGCCATCGCCGCCCACCTCAAGCCCCGGACAAGAGACCCGATCCCCAGAACCACAGTGGGACTAGGACTCCCAAGCATGGGACAGGGGCTGCCTGTGGCCCCACCCCACACGGAGACCCCAACACCCCCGGCTGTGGATCGCACTACAGATTGCCTGCCTGTGGCTCCCGGGCCCGTGTCCTGTTGCCCAGGTGGACAGGCAGAGGGCGCTGAGCCGGCCCCTCCAAGACAGGAACAAAGAGCAGGATGGTTTCCTCCAGTGCCAGCTCCGGGCTCCCTGAGAGTCCCCCTTCTCCATTGTAGCCACTGCCCAGTCTCCTTGCTCGCTGGGCTCTTCCCTAAACTCCCAGGGGCGGCCCCTGTGCCCCAGCTCTGCAGGCCCCAACACTAGCCCCTTCCCTCTGGACAGCCCCATGGGAAAACCTCACCCATGAGGCTCTGCCTCGGGCTCCTGGGGAAGCTGGTGGAAGATTCTGCCCCTGACTCCTGGCCCCTGCTGGCCAGGGAAAGCGTTCACTCCCAGCCCCACTCCCACCCTTCAGCATGGAACAAAAGGCCGAGGCGGGAGACAGGTTTTTGGGGTGGTCTCAAGCACCTGCGGCTGCACAGGTAGGGAAGCTCTGGTCCCATCTCCACGCCCTCACTTTCTGCTTCTGCCTGCGCTCGCCCTGGTCCCCGGGCCTCGGCTGCAGACACTCACCTTGTCCACTCTCCTGCCACTGACCTGTGCTTCACCGCCGACTGCAGACTGGGAAGGCAGAGTGAGGGGAGGCTTTGAAAACTGTGGCCAACAGCAACTGGCCAGTAAAAATAGAACGGTCCGCTGCCCCCTCCCTCTGCCCCTCCCCCACCCCTCCCCGGACCCCTCAGCCCCAGATCCACACTGCAGTGCACACAACAGACACACAGCTTACAGACACGTGTGCAGCAGGCTCAAGAGCACACCCAGGCCACAGCTGAGTCAAACCAGCACCCACCCTGGGAGAAGAGAGGGTGGAGGTGGAGGCCCCTACATCTCCTCCCAAGAAATGTGGAAATTGGCCTGGAGCCTAAGAGAGCTGAGCTCCACCTTTGGGAATCTTCCACAGCTCTGGGACCTGTGGGACGGAGGAAGCCTGGAGTGTCCATGGGGCCAATGGGGCCGAGCTGTTGTGGGAGGGGCATCAGGGCCCACCTTCGTGCTCCGGAGGTCTGAGGGTCTGCAGACGCTGTACCCCCACCTCCAGCTCGGGTTCCCAGGATCCAAACGGCACCCAAGCACCATGCCTGGACCTCAGCGAGACTCACTCACTTCTGCCTGCCTGGTCTGGTGCCTTGGGGGCTGCACCTGTTCACTGGGTATTTTTAGGCTGTTGACGAACACATAATACCCATCCTATAGTCAGAGAAAGACAATGCCTGCTATGTTAATCCTGTGGCTATTATAGTCGGGCCTCTCCCGGGCCAGCATCCCAGGCTGGGCAGGGCAGGAAGGACACTGACCTCTCTTGGAGGCCAGGGAGAGGCCCCACGAGCAGCAGGGGTCGGGGAGCTCTCTCCACACTCGCCTTAGGGAATGCTGAAGAGACACAGCCGCCAGCGACCGCCTGGACATTCTGCTGCCTGCAAGAGGTGGCTCTGTCACTGCTGGTCAGGGCAGCTTGGGAGCCCACCACGCTGGAAGGTTGAGGGGAGAAAGGGCAGGGGCTGGGATAGAAAGGGAAGGAGGCCCAGGCCAGAAAGGGCAGCTGGGACAAGGGGAAGGATTCGGGGGCAAGTCCACTGGAGGGTATTGCCTTGGTCATTGAGCTTATGATTTAAACAAGAACTTTCTTACAGGACCTTAATATATACAGAAATGGAGTTGTCTGCATGGAAAATGCTGTCTATTGCAAAGGAAAAATAAAGGGGTGGATTCTGGGGACCACTTGGGATGCCCCCAATCACATATAGGAGAGCCTGGTTCAAGTCCCAGCTCCTCGGCTTCCAATCCAGCTTCCTGCTAATGTGCAACCTGGGAGGCAGCAGGTGATGTCAAGTACTCAGATTCCTGCCTCCCACGTGGGGATCCCAGCGAGTCCCAGGCTCCTGGCTTCTGCCTGGCTCAGTGCTTGCTGTTGCGGCCATTTGGGAGTGAACCAGTGGATAAAGATGTTCTCTCTGCCTCTCTCTCTCTCTCAAATAAAACAAATCTTAAAATTTTCATTCTAACTTTCTAAAAAAGGAAAGGAAAAATAAAACAGATTGACCAATAGAAGAACAAACGAGGGTCAAACCAGCCTAAGCTGCAGGTGCCCCTGCTCACAGCAAGGCGTGTCCAGCGAATGCCCACCTTGGGCCCCTGCTGTGCAAGGACCAGGCTCATGCACTCAGACGGTCTGGGAGCAGCACGCATCCTCAGACACTGTGGGGCGCAGGGGCCACTGTCCCACCTCCATCCCTGCCACCCCCAACCACAGGGCATGTGGCATCCAGCTGGCCCCCAATCTGCTGCCCCAGTTCAGGAATGGAGGAAAGCAATGGCTTTGCCCTTGGCATGCCAGCTTCTCCAGGGTACCCCCTGCTGCCCACAGAAAGGTGACCTTCAAAATGGAGCTGTGATGCCTCTTATCTTCATCCCTGCTCCAATCTTTCTTTGTGCGTGAAACAGGTGCCAAGGCCTCTGGTGCCCACGCACAGGCCTCTGTGGCCGCCCACGCCCGGCCAAGGGCTCATCAGCAGAAGTGCAAGCCCGCGACCCCCTCACGGCCCCTGCTGAGGGGTCCTCTGCCACCCTTCTCCCAGCCTCCTCTCTGCAGGAAAGGCTGCGCATCTGCCAAGGGCCCGCCCGGGTCACCCCCTGCCCATTCTGGCGTCCGTCCTGGAACTGTGAGGCTGTCTGGTCAGAGGGGACCCTCCCCAGACGTGGGACCAGAAACGGGGTCCACGGCCCCGCCAGAGCCCCAGGCAGAACTCTGTGGCCAGCTAGATAGCGGTCCCCCAAAGACGCCCATGAAACCGGGCATACGACACCTCTATGACACAGGTTGCTGGAGGCTGTGACTAAATAAGGGGCCTGAGGCCGGCGCCGCGGCTCACTAGGCTAATCCTCCACCTGTGGCGCCGGCACACCAGGTTCTAGTCCTGGTCGGGGCGCCGGATTCTGTCCCGGTTGCTCCACTTCCAGGCCAGCTCTCTGCTGTGGCCCGGGAGTGCAGTGGAGGATGGCCCAAGTGCTTGGACCCTGCACCCCGTGGGAGACCAGGAGAAGCACCTGGCTCCAGGCTTCGGATCAACGTGGTGCACCAGTCGCAGCGCGCCAGCTGCAGCGGCCATTGGGGGGTGAACCAACGGAAAAAGGAAGACCTTTCTCTCTCTCTGTCTCTCTCTCTCTCTCACTGTCCACTCTGCCTGTCAAAAAATAAAATAAAATAAATAAATAAATAAGGGGCTCGAGAGGGGAGTGGACCTGGGTCACCTGGGCAGGCCCAGTGTCAGCACGAGGTCAGACTGCGGCAGGTGGACCAGGGTTGGGCGAAGCCGATGTGACACAGGACGAGTGGTCTGGAATCACCACGTGCGAGCGACTTGCTACTGCAGCAGCGAGACTCGGGACTCCGCGTGCCTGGCTGCGCCCTGGCCTCCGTGGTTCCAGCTGTGCTTGCAAGCGGCCGGGGAAACGGCGGCTGGGGAGGCTCAGTGGAGAGAACCGGCCCCGGGGGAGTCTGCCCAGGGCAAGGCAGGAGAACCGGCCTGGATGGGGTCTCTGCCCAGGGCAAAGCCAGCCTGCGGCACAGCCTCAGCCTTCCTGGCCAGCTCTGGCCCCACTGTCTCAGCCACAAGTAGGAGCCGCAAGTCCCCTGGGTGCATCGAGGCTGGAGAGGAGGAGCCGCGTGGTCACTTTGCTACTCGGCCCGGCGCTCAGGTCACACTGCCTGAGAGAAGCCACTTCCCTGACCCTACTGGCGCCGTTCCTAATTCCAGCACTGACCCCCCCCCGAACCCCAACCTTAGCCCTGTGTCTGCCCGTAACCCCGGCCGGGCCTCTGGCACCCACAGGTGCCCTTTGTGGGAATTAGACAACAGCGCCCCCTCCAGGCGGATGCAGCCGCACAGGTAACAGCTCTCCCAGTTGGACCAAGGGTGCATAGCGATCCCTCTCCTGGCTGCCCCAGCACTCCTATGGGTGCTCTGCACCACGGCCCCTGCCCCAACCTCCCAGACCCTCACATCGGCTGCGGGGGAGCCCCGCGCTCTCTTTGAATCCACACAGCAGTAAGCAGCTGATGCCGCCCTTGTTCTGAGACCTCAGCCATCTCCTCTCCAAGCCCTGATCTGCTCCAGGTTCTCGGGCCTCGCCTTAGCGCCCCTCCTGCAGGTCTCCTGACTCTGTCCTTGATGCAGGGCCCTGGCCGAATTCCCTGCAGAGTCCTCCCCACCCCAGCCTCCTCGCTTGTAAGCAGGGTAAGGGTATGCCGTGGCCCAGGGCGAGCCCCCCACCCTCTGGAGACCCATCCTTGGGACAAGGCTGATGGCCTTTCCTTGGCTAGTTTTTCAAGCCCAGTGAGGAGTGGGCATTTAGTCGAGGAGTTAGACACCCACTTCCCACGTCAGAGTGCTGGGTTCGAGGCTAGCCCCTGGCTCCTGACTCCCATACAGGCCCTTGGAGGCAGCGGTGATGGCTCAGACGTCCACATGGGAGACCTGGACTGTGTTCCTGGCTCCCAGCTTTGGACCCAGCCCAGCCCTGGCCACCACGGGCCTCTGAGGAGTAAAGCAGAGGATGGGATCCCCCCTACATTTTTTGGATTAAAGTCCAGAGAAAGCACGAGGTGGCCTTGGTCGGAAGCTGGGTCTCCAGACAACAGCCTGTGCCCAGGCCTCTCAGATCCCCTGGGCCCCCAGCCCAGTGGGAAGTGGAGGGGAGAGTGGCCAGGAGGAGCAGGAAGGCGATCCGGGGCTTTTCAGGCCCCAGGAACCACCCAAGTAGGAGCCAGTGGGGGAGAGGACCTGCGAGGGTTCCCAGCCATAGTCCTGCCTGCTTCCTGCCCACCCTTGTCTGTCCCCTCCCCTCCCCCCAGGGCCTGGGAGGCCACGGCCGAGGGAAGGAAGTAGGTGGCCAGAGGAGCTAAGCCTTCTAAGGCTTCGGGCTGCAGGGTCTGGGCCCGCACCTCACACGGCCCAAATTAGCAAGTGACAGGCTCGGCCCAGCCGCCCTGCCAGCTGCCCCTCCCACCATAGGCCCTGCTCAGGGACAAGGCCTCCGTGACAGCATCCAGGCCCCTCCCCGCCCGGTTCCAGGGCCCAGGAGGCCAGGGCAGAAGGAGCTGTGAAACCAAGACGCTGACACGCTGGGTTCCTGCCACGGGTCAGCCTCGTGGAGGGGCCAGGACACGGGAGGCAGGGCAACCGGGGCACACCCCGCCCAGCCCAGGCCACTCACCCCTTCTCAGCCTCTCTTTCCCTGGCTGTGAAATGGGAAGAAAGCCAGCGCCTCCCTCAGAGGGAACCATGTGACTGAGATGAGCTACTGGGTAGAAAGTCTTGCTAATGTCTGGCACAAGGCAAACTGGAAGGGACACCGGTTCCTAGAACATTCTCCTTGCTGCTTGGAGGTGCGAGGAGCTCCTATGAACCCATTTCACTGACGTGGAAACAGAGGCTCCCTGTGCTGGCCCAAGTAAGGGAGCGGAGGGCTGAGAACCAGACGCGCTCTGCCCATGCTCTGTAACCAGCCTGGCACATAGCAGGTGTTCAGCAAACAGGGGCCATGGTTATCATCAGCATTCCTATCTCCAGCCAGCACGGTGGCCCCATGGGGAACCTGGGGTGGG